AGACATCCACTGGAATCACAAACATCAGTATTGGGTGGAGGGCAGGGGCGTAACTATGAATCACAGGGCCCCATAGAAAAATTTTGTATGGGGCCACTGATTGCTAGTTATGCCACTTGCAGAGCCCCAGCGGAGAGTGACCCTGCAGAGCCCACCATGGACTCTCTATAGTGGGGTCTGCAGGGTCTGTGATCTCTTACCTGTCAGCGCCTCTGTGGTCGCCGGGCCCCGACTCCTGTTCCGTCCCCGGGCCCCGACTCCTGTTCCGTCCCCGCCTCCTCTGCTATCGACGGGCCCCGCCTTCTCTTACATCACTGGCCCCACCTGCTCTTAGGTCGCTGGCCAGTGATGTATGAGGAGGCGGGCCCCGCCTCCTCCATTCCGAACACCGCCCTCATCTGCCGCAGAGGCTGGCTGTCACTGACACAGCGGCTATGAGGGGAAATGCGCCGTGGCCGCTGCTGAGCTGTGTCTGTGACAGCCAGCACCCCCACATGCCATAGCGACCCAGGCTGCCCTGACCGGGCCCCCCTGTGCCTGGGCCCCATAGCGGCCGCCTGGGTTGCTATGGCGATTGTTACGCCACTGGTGGAGGGTGTACAAGCCACAATCTGACTATAATAAGCTCTAGATCTACCAACAATGATAGTTTTGGCAGCTGTAAAGGAGATTGTACAATCAGATTGTAACCCCCATGACCACATTTATGCTGACCATGCACTCAACAGTTTCCAGGCAAGTTTTAACCATCATCAATGCAACCGACATCTTCTATCCAAACTGTCCAATGAACACAACATTCTGGCGGTAGGTTGCCTTTGATCTTTGGCTCGTTATTGTTAATGGACAATTGGTTTGCGAGTAATTTAAATTAATTCCAAATTGCCATGCTGATGATAAGCATTAGCATGAGATCATAGAGGCCACAATTAAAGCCCAACTGCAGCCGAAAGCTCTGTCAGGTTTTCATTTGCAGTCGTACCGCCATTGGTAGGATTTCCCTTTACTTAAGCTCTCTATACACATATCAATATTTGCCCATTACTGCTAAAATGGGTAAAATTTGATCTGGGGGTAACCCTGCCGGCACTAACTGGCTCGACAACAGTAAATTATTCAATGATGGATGGAAAATTGTTGACTGAATAGTGACTTCAGCCAAGCAGATGCAGTCAATGTCCGGGTCTTCTTGGTCCATAGATGGAAAGGGGTTATAGAACCTCCACAATGTTATAAAAAGTCCCAGTGACAATTCCTCCCTCATTTCCATCCTGCTGTTACAGGGCCCAAAATCCACTAAAGGAGTCAACGACGTCAACTGGATGAGATGTTCTGATCATTTTATACTATAGATTCCCCCTTGAAAGCTACATAGACATCCACTGGAATCCTAAACATCAGTATTGGGTGGATTGTGTGGCCCCAAGTAAAACAAATATGGATTCACACAGGTCAACAGTACATTGCACTTAGGGCTTAGGGGCTTTCCTGTGTGATCTCGCTCTGTACTCTGAGATAATTGTTGAATACTGCTGCATGGGGCTTCTTCGATGCACCATGTGATAACTATAGGGCAAAATTCTGCTACATGGCCTAATATTGTTATAAACCATAAAGCAACAGAAAAAACATAACCAATATTTATAATTCATAAGTCTACATGATCATGACCTGAGGGTGTGAATTCAAACATTGGTGGGAGGTCAACGTGAATCATTTATGAGCTGCAGTTGAAGGTTTCAGCCACCAGGTGGCAGCAGAGCACTTCAGATTTGGGTCTGGTGTATATTGCTTGGAAGTCCAATGATTGGATTGAATGTGACTTTTTTGGGGGATTGTAAAAGTTTTCTGGGAGAACCAAAACAGTGTACTTGCTGCAAATGGTAGCGTCGTGTTCTGCTTTTCTGAGGGGCAGAGTTGTGTACTTCACCTGTGTCCCAAATGAATGAATTACAAAGTACTTTAATAGAAAAATAAACACGTACAATCTCTTTAACCCGCTTGCCAGCGGAAGGGAGCTGCACTGCAGTTCCCCAGCTGGCATGCGGGGCCTCTTCATCCCGAGACTAAAGGTTTCTTCAGCTAGCTGCATATATTGCCTACAGCTAAGTCCAAGTCATGTCTTAAGAACGGCTCCCCGTTGCCTTGTGCTTCTGGTCACTTGAGATTGGATTCCTTACCACCCGGGTCAACCTGCCAGATCATAGGTCCTCCTGCACCTATTTCAAGAGATGAGTGAGTTAGCTGCAAGTAAGATAAAGCTGCAGCTGACTGGAGCGGTCCTTTAGGTCACTTTTAATGCTGGTTTGTGTGATTTATCCTCGGTGGGTATGTTGAATAAAGAGAACAATGGGCAAAGTGCAGGAACTCCGCGCCTCATCAGGATCCAGCTATTACTTACATGTAAACTGAATCTGGTACATTGAGTGACTGCGCTGTGCATATCAACACTTGGCCCATGTACTCATTCCCACCAGTGTTTAAAGATTGTATGATGGAGATCTATCATGGGCCAAATGATAATACAAGTTGTGTAAAACTGTAGTCAGCAGCCATTGTGTTGTAGTTCACCAGTAACAGGAGGGTGATCCAATGTTTCTAGTAACTGCTATTCAATGATCATGTGATATAAGCCACCCCTAGTGAATGCATAGGCTGCATCGCCATGATGGCTGTGTCGGGAATCACACATAAAACAAGGTCAGCATGTCAGCAGTGAAGTCTGGATCTACACTGAGGTATCCCTTCCCTCCACATGTGAATGTGCTGGGTACCTACACAAGGCTGGGGACTTCATTCTCGCCACATGTGATGGCATTGGGTACTTACAGAGGGCTGAAGACTCCATTCCCACCACATGTGATTCCACTGGGTGTTTACACAGGACTGAGGACTCCCTTCCCACCACATGTGATTGCACTGGGTGCTTAGACAGGGCTGAGGACTCCCTTACCCACCACATGTGATTGCACTGGGTGCTTAGACAGGGCTGAGGACTCCATTCCCACCACATGTGATTCCACTGGGTGTTTACACAGGACTGAGGACTCCCTTCCCACCACATATGATTCCACTGGGTGCTAACACAGGGCTGAGGACTCCCTTCCCACCACATGTGATTGCACTGGGTGCTTACACAGGGCTGAGGACTCCCTTCCCTCCACGTTATTGTGCTGGGTGCTTGCACAGGGCTGAGGACTCTCTTCCCACCACATGTGATTGATCTGGGTTCATACACAAGGCTGAGGTCTCCTTTCTTGCCCCATGTGATGGCATCAGGTGCTTAAACAGGGCTGAGGACCCCCTTACTGCCACATGTGATTGCACTGGGTACTTAATCAGGTCTGAGCACACCTTTCCCACCACATGTGTTTCTGTTGGGTTCCCAAGTGGCCAATCAGCAAGTACCAGTGCTGTTACATGCTCCCTCCTTACCCAGCAGAACTGGGTATATCTCTTGTCTCCTGGTGGTGAGCCATGAAATGCAGCCTACAGATTCACTAGCAACCAGTTGCTAAATTTCATGGCTGGGTCAAGCTGGTCCTAAACACAAAATGGCAGCCGACTGGTAGATGTGCAATATTGGCGTATTCCTTTACAAGTGTCTATTGGGATGAAGAGGTTGTGAAACACACTGTTATCCCCTATATATCCATATAGTTATATCATCATATATATATTTGTACATTTATATATAGTTTGTGTTGCCGGACCCCTCCAGGCCTAGCTGAGCGGAGCAGCCGTTTTCTCTGGTGGGGTTTTGGAGACAGTTGCTGGTTTTGTTCGTTCCTGCTCCGTCTTGCCTCTTCTGATAGAAGACCCGGGGCAGGGAGGGCTGTATGCACACCCGTCCGCCTCCGAACTACAGTCACTCACATCTGTGATTTCCAAGTCTGAGTCAGATTCTGGCTCCTGTTTTCCTTCAGGCGGGTCGGCCCTGTCTCTTCTCGCAGCCCCCGCACTGGCCTGGTCTCCGCTCCGTGGTAGCGAGTGAGAAGCGAGGCTGGCGCAGAGCCTTTGTGGCACTCCTGGCAGGAGGGTGGCTGACCTGTCCATGGACTCGCCGGGGAGCAGAGAGATGGTGGGAGGAAGCTGGGACAGCGAGCTAGGGTAGAAATGTGGCGGGTAGAGGGAGGTAGGCAGCTTGGAGCCGCTAAGGGGGAAAGAACTGGAAAGGTAGGGGCTAAATCCCCATGGGTATTCGGGAAATGGCGAGTTACGGTTGTATGGGGGCAGCAAGGCTGGAGGCTTAGTGTAACCAGAACCTAGAAAAGACAAAGGGTAAAATAAATCAGCTGAGTGGATACATTCCAATCCAAAAAAAAGTCAAAAGACACCAGGACCAATGAAAATGTTAAATCTCCACAATGGGGACGGAGACCGCAAAAAAAAAAGACCTGATAGTGGTTCTAACCCTTCCCCACTTTATCCAAAACTAGAAAAAGTCTGTACTGGAGTTATACTTTATTTGTAATTCTGTTTAGCTGGTCTTGTGATTCGGTTTGGCCACACCTCTTAGCCAGCAGTGGAAACACTATTAATGCCTATGATTCCTATGTCACCCGGCTGCTCATTGGAAAGGGCAAAAGCCTTCACTATCCTCTCGTGCCTGGCAATGACATTTTTCAGATGATGAGGGTAGCCATATGTGCGGCCAGTTTCTTAATGTCAAAGTGGTGACAGGTACACTTTATTTCCTCTACCTCCAGTCAAGATAAATCTGTTAGTCCGAAGTTTTCACCTGGCCCCCAAACTGTGTTACGACCAACATGACCTTCAGATGTAGACTAGACATTGACCCCATTGACACTAGACTAGACCTTGCTTGGTGTTAGGTAACACATTTTCAGCAATCAGGTTCAAGATTCAATGTTCCCAATGCAGACTAGTAAATGTCAGCTTGGGTCAAATACTAACCAATCAGCTTCCTCCTTTTTATTGTAAACTACTACAAAGAATGGAAGAATCATACACAAGGTCCTACAGAACATTAAAGGCATTTAAAGCTTGTTCAAGACTCACCTGATGCCAGGAATGGAAAAGCAGTTTCTAGGCACAATTTTTCAGTGTCTGGAGCAGAAAGGGGGCGATCCAAGAGTGGGGGGCGATTGGACTGAGAGAAGAGGGTCTGTAGAGCCTGAAAAATAGACATCCAACCCATCAGTATGTAAATACGCTACCTGGAGAAGTTCTTCTGAAACAGCCTAACCATCTGGCACGTTGTATTCTCCTGAATATTACCTGTACCCTTAAGCAGGCTGTGAACAGTTGACCATCTCTTTATATGACCACATAGGCCCGTAACTGTTAAAGTGAACCTGTCATGTCCACTGAAGTGTGTAAACTACGATTACAGGCAAAATGCCAACCATGCTGCTTTGGTAAGACCCGCATCTACGGTCCAGCCTGAACACAGGGCCTGGACTTCTCATTAGGTTGACATTAAGTCCCTCAGATGTCAAATTCCGTGCTAACCAATGAGACTTGGGCATAGCAGGGGTATTGAGCTTAATCAACTTGGAGCACCCTGTTTTTTTCTGAAGGGCAATCCTTCCATATTGTTCCATAGGCTTGATGTCCAATGGAATCTCCTACCAGTCAGTGCACAAGTTGCACACGAGGTAAATCTCCATTTTTTTCCCAACCTTTGGGAATGTTGGCATCTATGTTGGAAAGACTTTGAGGCCCTGCTTACCACCTGGGTGTAGGATCCAGGGCCCTCTCCAAGGTTTAAAGATACTGATCTGGACACGAGATTAATTTCTTGCAGACACCCTGCCAGCAACATTTATTCTAACTCTTCAGTACCTCACACAACCATTAAAGGACCAATTCCTGCCTCCGAGGAACTTACAATCTAATATCCCAAATTGTAGGCTAATTTTGAGTAGACACTGATGAACCTACCATGTTTTTGGATTGAATGTGGGAGGAAACTAGAATACTTTAAGGAAATCCACACCAACCCCCAGGAGAACATATATCCTCCAAACAGACAGTGTTCTGGAGGGAACTGAATCCAACAATCAAGTGGTACAAGTTCACTAACTACTAAGCAACGAGAACTATGAGACGGGAGATATGCAAACATTGTAAAATCAAATATATATATATATATATACACTATATACAGTATATATAAATGTACACACACAAAAACAATCTATGAACATTTATGAAAAACAGAAAACTTTCTACAGTATTCCCAAAGGATTTTAGGAACTTGCAAAGACTATTCCGCTTTTCCTATGTGACGGAGGGAAAAACAAAGAATATGTGAGTAACACAAACTTCTGCTCAGATTACATGTGAACTATCTCCAGATAGTTAGAACTGTCTCCAAATTAAAATCACTAAGAAAGAATAGTCCAATATTGTTTACAGGACAATGTCATATAAAACGTGCAAGAAAAAAAAGGCTTTCTTCTAAACACTGTATACATAATTTTTTCCCCCAATCACATAAGATTTTCAAGAGTTAAGAAAAATAAGCCACCATTAATCATGAAACATGTTATTGGTGTTCCTATACTTACTATTAGGTATCTAATACTTTAGTAACTCATGGCTTTCTTTGATCCTATCCATAATCCTTGCACTCTAAAACTAAACTGTGGCTGTACATGCACTTGAGTCAGGCAGCGTCAGTGCCATTGGCCGGCTTGCTCCTCTTACCTCGGGAGTGAAGGGGTCATGAGCGTGAGTCCCGGGGAAGGGGCCCTGCCCCAGCAGCAGTGAAGAGTTAGCCATGTCCAGCAGAGGATAGTTCACCAGGACGACTTTACTAAAGTTAAACTTGTAGGTGAAACGTTTTCCTTTCGTCTTGTGCAGAATTCTCTTGTTGTAATAGTACCTGCAGCAAAAAAATCAGGCCAATTAGTCACAAACACCCACATACGGAACCTATAAAATACCAACTGAATATAGGAAACATTAGCACTAATATTGGAAACATTGCAACCGCATTTGAAGACAAATCCAAAATTTGCTAATTAGATGCACTAAGGGTCAATCTGCCCAAAATCTCTATTTCAGTTCTGGATGAAGACTTGTGGGCTGAGTCAACCATTGCCATCTTGTATGTCTGTGGCCTGAGGGCCCTTTGGTGTTTGATGTGCAGCCCTTGGACCCAACAGTCAGTAGTGGGGGCACTGGTTTGTAAAAGGGCCTTCAATAATAGTAATGTCTAGCGGTTTAATGTAACATATCTCTAGCCGCTGACTGTCTCCTACAACATGACCTCAGCCTCCAACTACTCCTGCAGGGCAATTTCTGACCATTTCTAGAAAGTCATCAGTCTATGACAGTCTTCTGTAGCATTCCATAAAATAAATAATGTATGCTGCCTCTTGGAGACATCAGGGGACGAATGTGAGGCCCCTTATGCCTTGTCAGTTGACAACCATTGTGTTAGAGGCTCCAGTTATGACATCTTGCCATACTTGCTGTTGCTCTTCATGCACCTGCCTCAGAGTTTTGGCTTTTCTCGCCTAGCATGCAGGGTGCCCACTCTGCCTGGAGCATTCTTCTTAATACATAAAAAATCCAACAAGCATAGTGGGACCTCCTTATAATTAACTGCGCCAAATTGTGTCGACTTTTATCAATTCAAGTGTTGGAGTCCCTAACCATTGGAGTCCCTAAGAGATCTAAGCAACCATTGGGTGGTAACACTCCAATGTGTACCAACAACTGAACCATTAGTTTAAGGGCTTGTTCACACCATGGCTGTGCTTTTCTGCACACCACCACACACGTTTGGTGTAAAGAAGGCACCTATAATACAACTGTTCGCACCATACATATCTGGTGGTGTGCAGAACAATGCAGCTCAACAGACATGGTGTGAACAAGCCCTGTAGCAAAACTCCAGCCAATAATAACAAGGTAAAAATGAAAATCCCATGAATAGATAACAATTTGTGCTGCAATATTCACCCGCAATCCAGAGATTTCCCCCGCAGTATTTTTGTTTGCCACTAGATGTCCTCAGTCTGATGGCCAGCATCATTCAGCCAATTTTCTCAGAGTCCAGTTCATCCTGGACCCACCCCTAGCTTGTGACTAGACAGTGAGCAAGCAGCACAGTGGTGAGCTCATCTCTCTGGCACTCTGCTTTCTTTTCCTATCAGCATTCTTCTTGTCAGCACATGAACTAGTTGGCTGATTGTGCTGCTTCTTCCTCTCGCACTCCAGCCCTGCTATACAAGAGGCTGATACCAGGTCACATTCAGGCGCTTACACTGCTTGCATTTCAAAAATACATTCAGTGGTGTATTACATTCAGTGAGTACAGAGCTGCATTAAGTTGTGCCTTTTACTTCTGCCTGGAGTTCAGCTTTAATGTACAGGGACCCTTAGCAGGTATTTGGATGACTTTGTCAGGGTCTGGATTATTGTTGCAATATAAGGCAAAATTCCCTCTAATAATGATCTGCATTGTCGAGGCTCCATCCTGCATTCCAGTGTTTAGCCTTGCTCTATAGCAGCAGGCCAAGGTGTCCAGGTCAAGTGACGGGGGTTGAGACGAACCATAACACTGCCTTGGGGGTGCTTACAAAGCTGACTTTCCCATTTAAAGGGTTTAAATTCTTAGGTTGGGACAAACAATAGCACGGCGGGGGTGCTTGCAAAGCTTGCTTTAAAAAAAATAATAGTGTGTGTATGTATATATATGTTGGAAGGCTAACAGGTTAGCCTGAATTTGTGGGAGGGGTCTGCGCCTCCTTAACAAGGAAAAAAGGAATTTATATACCATATGCTATCATTACATTCATTGACCCTATATATATATTTATTTATTTTTTGCAATATCAGTCATTTCAATAAAAGTTGATTTCTACATTGTTTTTATTGTAGTGGCTAAATCACAAAAATTTCTGTTAAATTATTTTTTTAGCAGCAGGTTCTGTTTAATAAAAGTGAGGCTCAGGTATAATGAATGCAGGATGTGTACCCATAGCTAAATCTACAGGGAAGCCGTGCAATGAAATCATGAAACCGATATCCTCACCTATAACATATACTGTAAGAGAACAATTTTTATTTTTATAATGCGCTCAGACATACCTACCCCTACCCTGCGTCTTTCCTCTCCAGAGAGCCTGCCTTGTATTGGCATGGCAAACATATCACCCAAGTGTTAGGCAAGAAAAGATTTTTGAAATTAAATGTCAAAAGTGATTTTTCGGCCAAGGGATGAGGTTTCCCCTCCCTGTCTCACCCACACGCTCCGCAGGGACCGGCGGGTCTCAAACCATGGAAGAACATCGCAGGCTCGCCAAAACGGAGCTGAACTCCAAAGGTAAATTGCTTAGATCTGAACCTGGCTTAGGATATGCAGAATTTTCTTAGATCACCTATCTTATGCTTATGTGCTGCTTCCTTTAAAGAGAAACTAGAATGGTTTTGGGTCAATTTATATTATTATTTTTTTTCAACATTTATACTTTTTTAAACTGATATTAATAAATGTAGATTGAGTTATCAAAAGGGAGAACACTGCAGAAGCAGCTTGCTTTGGGGCTTGCTTTGTCTGATTGAAACATATATTGAGTTATTATAATGTTGACCTTAAAGTAATTTTTTAATGAAATCTTTACACTGCCTTTTAATTTTATACAAAGTCCATATATTTAATAGTACAAT